GGAGAATACAGGAGGCAAAAATTAATTAGAAGTATAATATTTTTTCAATTTGAAAAATTTCCATGATTATTTTCATATTCCTGCAAAGACTCATATTTTGTATGGAGAAAAAAAATGAAATTCTTTTTTTCAGGCTAAATTCCTCCTCTTCTGATTTGAGCAGTTACAAAATCATTGTTCTTCCTTTTATTTTCCATTTCAGAAACCCCAGCTGGACTCATTGCTGAGAACCTTCTCAAAGCCAAAGAAATAGCCCTCAATGACTCTCGTGTTCCTGAACAGCTCAAGAATTACTTACAAAAAGCTCTTGATGTTGCTATTGGACTAGACCCTTACCTGGATGCAATGGCAACTTCAAAGACGTACAGGTACTCCTTTCACCTTGTGTTTTTCTTCCTGTGATTGTATGAATATGTTCTTAGATTTTTCTGTTCAGAGTATGCCATAAACATGGGGGACAGTGGAAAGAAGAAGAATGAGAGTTAACTGCACCCAAATATATAGCAAAGCGTGCACAGAGCGTGCACAGACTTGTGTGTCTCTGTGCACCCATGGCCTCAAGGAGAGGAGGTGAGAACAAAAAGTCCTAACTCTAATTTTTGGGAAGATATTCTGCCTATGGACTATGCCAATGCCTGTGTCGGACCGTATCCTGTGAAAAATCAGCAAGCCACCTCCACGCAGTGCCTGCTGAAAGGCTCGGAGAATGAACCCCTGGGTCAAATTGGTGCTGGGATAAATAAAGAATGAAGAAAACCCGCGCCTCTGGATCCACCCTATAATAACAGCCTTTATATGCAGCTTTTATCTCCAAGTGCTCAACAAACATTAATTAATCTGCTAACTAAATTACTCTAGTAACTAAACTAATTAATTAAACTAATTTAAGGTATCATTAATTCAGAAGTCCAACTGATACCTCATTATTCTTTTTTGAGCTACAGTATATTACCCAGCCATGTGGGGTCTGCTCAACAATTCCCATTTATCAGTGTACATTTTGATATGTGGAAAAAGCCAGTTCTGTCTAAAATTGACAATGTGTAAACTGTTCCAGGCTGTGGATTACGGGAACGCTGAGCGTTCGTTCTGTTGCTGAAATAATAGCTGATAGTTGTTTGACTTACGCTTGCTGTACGATAATAGCTATACATTATCTTATTAAAGTTGTTAAAGCATTTGTGAGGGGCAGAAAAGAGGTTATATGAAATGTTCTACTCTTTAAGTCTTGGATTATCTGAGTGTAGCTGACATGGGTTATGAATTCTTTCTCATTTTACTGAGGAGTGGTGGGGGGAGCTTGGGGGGCAAAAAAAAAAAGGCTGAAATGGCTCTAAATTCTGGCCCACAGAAGTATCACCAGCCATTTCTGGTGGTTACTTTCTTCAGACAGGGTAATCTAATCTGTCCAGGGGCTATGGACATCTTCCAGTCTTTCCCTTCTCTTTGTAATAGGTAGCATCTCACTTCATCCAGAGTCAGCACAGGCCTGGAGTCTGTGAAATAGCATCTGGAGATACCCTGCTTTTCTTAGTAGTTTGGGAGAAAAACCATTTTTTTTCCCTGTCTTGCAAAAAAATTTTAGAATTTACATCTTTTCCCCTATTTTGCAATGAAACCTTATTTTGGCTGAAAAAATAAAAAAAAAAAAAAAAACAAAACCAAAAACAACCACCAAAAAAACCCCCAAAAACAAAAACAAAAAAAAAACCCAAACAAAACCTGGCCAGGGTAGCTGGAACCATTTACTCCAAACCAGCAGACAGACAGACACCTGTCTGGGATCAACTAGAAATGGGAAAGATTTGGGATTGAACAGTGGGGAACGCTTTCCCTCGGCCCCACAACCCCTTCTTCTCAAGCTCCTATGGCTGGAGCTGCTGCCAGCACCCAGACAGGCCTATTGCCAAGCCAGGCCCTCTTACAAATGTAATTTAGGGGTGTTCATAACACTTCTGGGCTGATTTTTCATGCTTATGCACAAATGGACCTTTTCCAGGGGTTCCCTCTTGGTTGCTGTTTTCTGTGCAGGATACTCAGATTTTGGTTCTTACCACAATGTTCAAATTTCTTTCTTTTTCCAGAAAACCTTCACCTGACCATGACGGAGGGGATGCTGGAGGAACTGAAACCAGAGTTAGGCTGCAGGAAGAACGCACCTCTGGCTCTTTGAATGGCAAGTTGGTCAAGCAAGAGGAAAGAATTGCACCAGGCTGGTGTAAAGGTTATCACTGAATTCATCATCCTCTACTCCATCTTGAGTGGGGATAGGATGAATGCCATGGAAATGCTCAGAAAATGTGGGAAATTACTTAAATAGAGAGACGGGAACTTCCTGTAGACTTTGATCTTCCTTTTGTGTGAATTTTCCCTGTCCCCCGCCTCCCGTGCCCTTGTACCCACGCACAGGCTTGTGAGTTCTTTAATTCAACATCCCAGCCTCATCCCTTAGTGAGCAGCGAAGAGATCGTTGTCCTCATTGGAAAGAGAGGGAAGGGAAAAATCATGTTGGTTTTGGCTTGGTGGTGTCTGATAGGGGTTTACGTGCTTTTGCGGTGCAGGTGGCCTGTGGCCAAGCACTGTCCCTTTTCAAGTAGCAATACCCAGGCTTGTATCCCCATATAGAGCCTATTACACTAAATCTATTCCCAGATTCATTCTTCCCAGATGTTCCCATCTTTTGAGTAATATATCATCACAGTGAAGTACTCTTATAATGTATTACACTAATACATTGTTCGAAGGACACCACTGATGATAAATTTCTTAAATGATGGTGCTGTCTAGGGATAATGACTCTAAGAGCAAATGCAAGGTAATGTAGTGATTTTTTTACACCGGATTCCAGAAAGAATATGGAGACATCTTAAAGCCATTTTCATATGGGGGGAATGTTAAAATACGCAATATTTCAAGCACTATTTAACAAGCACTTGAACAATAGCAGCATTGATGATAAAGGTTCTACATTTAAAACCAGTCCCTTTATTCTGTTGTCTTTTAGCTGCTTTTTAGATGAAATTTTGTCAGATTCTGTTGTTAAACCCTTATTTGAAAGTGTTTTAAGATTAGATTTTTTTTTTTAATGATCACTTAAAAGGTACATCTAATTTTCATTGTGAACAGGGTTCAGTTTTTCCTATGGTTTTATTTTTAAATTTTCATTCTTGTCTTTCAACAGGCCAAATTTTTAGGATGTTTATTCATATGATGAGAGCCAGGAAGATTTTATTAATTGGCAAGCTTAAAGGTTACAGTATCCTTGCTATGGCAGAAGAATTGCCAGATGATGGCAAAATCTTTGCATGTGCAGAAGCACCGTATCTCGGAGTGAACAGCCAAGAAGCATTTGATTATTCTTCAGATGGTAAAAAGATAAGCATGCGAGTGGGACCAACAGCAGACACTTTAGAGGTAAAGTCAGTTGGAAGGGAGTTGGGAGCTCTCGTGCAGAGCAGATTGAAGAGTTTTGGGCAGGTCCTGGTTTCTGCCCACAAGATTCTGGGTGATGACCCTAGTTTGCTTACAAATATGCAAACACACTCTCGCGCTGGAATTGTTTCTTATTCATGACGATGTATGATGGGACAGCTCTGTGACACAAGATAGCTTTTTCCCTTCTTAACTAAAATACTGCACCTTTTGATCAGAGGGATCACAAACTCTAAATGTGGGTCGATAGGCTTCAGTGGCACAGTTTTACTTGACGTGGGTGGGCTTTGTTTCAGAGTCTCTAATTCCAAACCTAACAAGCTGAAAGATCGTATCTGTGCCTGTTTGGCATGCCTGGAGAAGGATAGCTTGCTCCCAATGCTCACAAGAATTAGAAAAGTCCTGCAGATGTTTTTAATTCTTCTACAACCTGTCAGTATTTTCCACAACTGGCAACACCATGGGCCATTAGACCCCAAGTTTCTCACTTCCAGAGCGATTTGATAAGCTTCAGACCTGCAAATGCATTAGCTATATTTTCTTCATTCTGATTTGGTCCCAAGAAAGAGAAACATTTGTGATTGCCAGCAGCTAGAGGAGTTGCATGTTTAATTCCGGTTTATGCATCTCCAGAACATCGTTGCAGGTCCAGCACGCTAACCGGTGGTGCCCATGCCAGGTTCATTAAATGTATAGCCTTTCTATTAGTAATGAAAACCAATTTGGTCTGATTCCATTTTCAATCTGGATGTGTCAGTGTGAGCTTCATTGTAATTGTATTTGCATTAACAGGTACCATATTTGTTTCTAAAATGAAATGGCCGGGAGCTTTCTGACCTCTGGCTTCATGACCTCCAAGTTTGATAAGAAAGAAACAAAGAGCTTTGCCAAGTATATGAATAAACGAAACGTTACAGATCACCTGCAATGTGCAGCATTTAAAACCCCAGCTCCCCGCAGTGAGTGTGAAATTAATTGAATTGCTGTTGCTCTCTAGTGCCCATTCTGTGCAACTGACTTACTGTGACCGAATTAAAATATCTAGAGGCAGGCAGAGTACATGCTGTGTAGAGATTAAAGAAGGGAGCAAAGACATGAAAATTAAATCCTTAAACCAGAATGTTGCCATTGATTTTATATCCTCCGATTGCAACGCGAAGGCACATCCTGACCCCAGTTCTGCAGGTACTCAGGGCTTCAAATAGCTCTTGGAGCCGATGGGAAGGGAGATGCTTGTGTTTGGCAGGAGAAATCCCAGCACCAGGGACGCCTCTCTATGCAGGATTTCTGCACTGGGCTCTGAGCTTCTGTTGCTCGACCTGGCAGATATTTTGTCATTGCTATTGGGGAAATCAGCATTGTCCTACAGGGCCTCTGTGTCTTTATCCACAATGCCTGTAAATGGCAAAGCGACACGTTTGGTGGTCTCGCTGGTGCCTTTCCATTTTGGGCTCATTAAGGTTTGCCCTGGAGTGGGCAGCCAGGTGGGAACACACCTGGGTGCGTGGAAGAGGCTCAGTCTGTAAACGGTGTGCAGCCTTCTCCCTCCTAGAGAAGACCAGCTTAGGTTGGAGACCAAACAGGCTTCCTCTCCTGCCACCTGGGCATGCTGAAAGGCAGCAGGATGAGGCAGTCATGGGTGGGAGACAGGCTGGAGATGGCACAGCCAAGCTCTCACAGCTTGACTTCATGGAGGAGATGGAGAACAGCAGCATTTCTGTCCCCCATAGCCTGCAGGGAGGCCTGTCTAGAGCAGAGCTGGCTGAGAGTTGCTGAGAAACGTGGTGAGATCCAGGAGAGCTGGAACAAGCCCTGGCAAAGGTTGTGTGTGTTAGTCTATGGTGTCAGCGGTCCTAGGTCTCATTCCTGTCCCTCTAGAGAAGTTAGAGGGCAGAGACGGTCTCCTATCACTTCCTCTTTGGAGGAGGCTGCAGCAGCTTTCTTGCTGTGGTGACTGTGGCTGAATTTTGCTTCCAACCTGAGTGCAGTAGGGCAGGATTTCTGTTTATCTGCTGCTGCTCAAATCTTTGCAGCAGTGCAAGCTCCTGGGAGCAGAGGATTTGCCTTGCTGCACTGGCTCTTTCAAAGCACAGAAGTGTCATATGATATATAAATAACGCTACCTGGCAGGGAAGTCCTTTTCTGCTGCATGAAGCTGTGATTCAGAAAGTCCAGACTGCCAGAAGGTATATGATGTACTCTCACTTCTGGAGTAAAACTAGTCCACCCAAGAGTTACATTCTAGCCTCAGGTAGAGGGTACCATCCAAGTGCTGCAGGGTGTGTCCAGTGCTGCGTCCACATCTGCTGCCGATGCCCTTTAGAAGGAAAGCTGCCAGATGTTGCAGCCGTTGCCACAAGGATGCGACACATCTGTTCCAGTGCACCTCAGACAGCGTGGCCTTTGTGGCACCCACATGGTTCTGGCTCTTCCACCTCCAACTGCGGCTCATCAGGGCTGCGAGCGAGCAGAGAGCAGTGCAAAGGCAGCACATCAGTCCAGAGCGGCACCTTGACCAGGCTTTCTGAAGGCTCCGGCTGCTCCTTTGCATTACCGCACAGCGTTGACAGGGACGGCCAGGTTCCCTGTCTCTTGTCCCAGGTCATCCTTTGGGCTGTCAAAGGATGTTAAATACTGACAGGAGCCGCAAAGCTCAGGTACACAGTGGGGTTCATTTGGTACATGAGGGCACGATGGAAAAAAAAATCCACCTTTCCCACGCGTGAGGGACGGGCTGCCCAGCTAGGCTAGGTTCCCACTGAAGCACGTAGCTCTCTCACACCATGGCACAAGCCTCTGTGCCCAGTGACCTCAGTAACTTCGATGTAACCTTTTGCAATGTGGACTTGGGGGGGAGCCTTTCCTTGGGTTCAGTCTCTGATACAGGTGCTTTCAGTGGGAATTAGCTGCTGTTTCAACATGCCTTGCCATGTATCAGCTGTGAGCAAGAGGCCTGATCCTGCACAAAGAGCTTCCTTTAATTCCCAGTGGAGTTTTGGTTGAACAATGGATGCAGGATTGAGTCCGGAGGGAATGCAAACTGCCAGGAAATTATTCCCATCCATGATTTTGATCCTTCCATGTCAAAATCGAAAACACAACACAAAAAATAACACTGTGTTTGCAGCAGATTCTGCTGATTGCAGGGCATTGTGTAAGCATGTCGGGGTTTTCTTTTTTCTTTTTTCCCTCCTTTTACCAGACAGAATAGGTGAAGAGGTTGAGCTGCAGATCTCATTTCTCCTGTTTTGCTGCTTGTGAAGTCTGCCAACAGAATCCACCTTGACAAAGTCAAGGACTCTGCGTTTAATGTTGAACTGAGTGAATAAATTATGCATGAAATTGTGTCGGAGTCTCTAGTGTGCAGAATTGCTCCTTTTGATATGAAAGGTTAATTCAGAAAGGAGTCCAAAATAGCTGGAAATTGTGGGGATAAGTGGATAGTATTCACTGTTGTGAGCTGTTATTACTAGAAATTGCATTCCCTCTCTAGCTTCCCTAGAGATTTAGCTTTGCCGGTGAATATAAACTGTACTCAATAGAATAGCATTTAGGAGTAACAAGAGTGTATGTCCACATACAGTAAAATATTCTAATGGTGTTTTAAAAGGAAGCTGTACTTTCTCATGTATTTTGTGTACCCTAAGGATGGATTGCTATTACATTTAGGTTAAGAACAAGGCATAGGGAAGTTAATAAGTTTTGAGTACATCTTTATTATCAATATGCTGACTGTATGATCCATATCAAAGGAACTGGACAGTCATTTTTTTTTTTCTGATTGAGTTTGTATGTGCCTTGTGAGAGAGTGTTGTCTCTGATCAGGACTCCAATTAGGTTTTCTCTGAGCTTTGGCAGAAGATTCATTCATGTTTTTATTCGGGATGTCCTCTCCCTGATCTTTTACTGCATCCATCAGCAGTGCTGCTGTGCCCTTTCTCATGCTAGCTTTTGGTGCATCTCCTCTGTGCGATGCAGTGCTACAAGTCGTTTTTTTTTTTCTTTTTTAATCCAAAAAGAAGTTAATGACTCACTGTAAGCAAAAGCATTAATTTTAGCCAAGTTTGCTCTGAATTAAGATACTTCTTGTTGCCATCTGTTACCGTCTATGATGCCTCTGTAGCAAGGAGCAGGGATTGCACTGTAAACATTCAGGAAATTAGTTTCAGCGGGATATTTTGCAGACAGATTATTTCCTTCTGGATCTTGGCTTTCCTCACAGTCGGAGACGTTTGGGCTCTGTCTCTCTTCTAGCAAAGGACAAAGGCATCTCCAACGTGCTGTGAGGTCCCAGGCAGGGCCTGGCCCAGCCTGCTCTGGGTGGACAAGGGTAGTCAGTCCCTCCTCTTAAACCCCCTCATCTGTTTTGAGAGGGACAGCAGCGAGTTGTCCTCTGCATCACTGCGCTGATATTTCCAGTGCTTAACTCCGTAGTCAGAGCTACCCATTGAGCAGCTCTTCTTTCCTTCTGGCCGTCTTGTTTCAGCAGCAGGTGCTGGCAGTGTGAAAACCCTCTCCCCTGTGGTACCCTGGCCACGGTGACTGCCTGTCTGGGTGACCTGTGCTCTGCTAGGCAAGGAGCTCCAGGAAACAGAGCACTTTCCTCTTCCAGTGCCTGTTATCGTCTTGTGTAGAGGCTGCTCCAGAGACAAAGCTGGATTCAAGGAATCTCATGGATTCGCCTTATAGGCCTGGAGCGATTTCCAACTAAACATGGAAAACCCAACAGCAGTCTTGAAGCTGTGGAAACAAGAAGCTTAAATGATGGCAGGATCATGGTATGAGCTCCAAGGCAGAGATTCAGGCATTTCCATACAGGTGTCTAGTACTAGGCATCTAGAAGAAATGAAAGGTGCCCAAGTGACCTTCATGGCTGGCTGTTTAGGGCTTGACGAACTCACAGAAGAGAAATGCTTTCTAAATGGTGGCTTTGCACACCCAGGCAGCGCAAGGACAAGACAGGCGTGTGCTGGATACAACACAGACACCCCTCCTGGGATGAAAGCTGTGAAGTTAAAAGGTGGTTTATCTGTATCAGAAGATAGATAAGAAGGAGATGAGCTGTCAGCAGGTAGACAGTAGAGAAAGGGGGCTGAAATGAGAAGCCCAGCTAGTATCCAGAGAGCCACACAACCCCATATGGACCTAATGAAGTCAGCGCATAAAAGTGCGATTCTTTTTCATTAGGGAGCCATACCATGGAGCAGTAGTAACATATGTTCAGAGATGGCCACATCTGCTTCTGAATGTCTGCCCCCCACCTCCTCCACCCGGGAAGGTTACAAGTCAGAAAGTAGTGATAAGTCATGATAATTACTTGAATTTGGCTTTGGATGTTCTCTCTGGAGAATGAGACCTCTAATCTCTCTTCCTGATGGACTCCTCCTCCCAGCTTTCATCTTCTGACCCTTCCTGAAGTATCTACATTGGACAGACTGGCTGAGTTGCAACCTGATATAAGATGCTCTTCCACGGTAGCAAAAATGTTCCTGCTGTTTTCCCCCAATACAGCTCAAGAGGTAACCAGGGCAAAATTTTCTTACTGGTCATGAAATGAAAAGATGAATCCCAGGAAACCAGATGTCCCAGTTTCTGCTATATTTATTATAAACCAGCATATATTTGGCCTTAAGGTCTTCTTTCATTATAGTGTAGTATCAAAAGGTGTCCTAAATGCGGGCTCATGAACACTTTTGGCAGAGTTTCTGTGCTATCAAGCATCTGCTGTTAAGTGTGACTATCCAGGCTTTCAGGCAGGTTTAATTTCTTAACCACTAACAAGCTCACAATGACACCAGTTTGCACAATAGAGTAATTCAGAGCTTCAATGATCCACTTCCCGCTATTTCCTCATCTGAATGGTGCACTCCCTGCGTCAGAAAGGCTCCTGAAATCTCTGTTTGGGAGCCGTCAACCTCACTCCCGAAAACAAATTAGTTTTTTTCACATTCTGTTGCCATTTGTTATTGATGCTTTCTCTCGTATATCTCAGGGGACCGCTCATCACTCATTGTGCACAATGTCTCCAAACACAAAAGGGAAATCTGGACGCAAGAAGTACTGTTAAAAGTTGTGGTAGAAACAGTGAATTCTGGAAAACATAATTGTTTCTCTTTTCACTCGAAATGCCAAGACTTGAAAGCATTTCTGCTCGCCTAGATAGGTGGATGAGCCGTTGTTTCATTGCAACGCACACAGATGCAGTTAAATAGTCCCAGATGGAATCTGAAATATTCCATAGCAGCCTCTTGGGCAGCGAGTGCATTAACTGCCACAGGAGAAGGCTGTAAAGGCTCCCATCTGGTCATCCATCAACACTTTTATACATTATCATCAGCAGCCTGCTTGGAGGGAAGGTGTGCCACATTTCTGAAAATCCAATTAGATGATAGCAGCCAGTTCTTTTTATCCTCTCTGTGCCTGAGCCTTCCAAAGCATTTTTTTTTTTTTTTTAGATTAAAGAAACATCACTTTCCTTCATAGGAGCTGTGCTGCTTTATCTCTATCATGACCTGTTCTTTTATGTGCTTTATAATTCTATTACTAATTGGGATTTCAACCATTTTCCTGCTACTGAAGTGGGACTCACTAGTTTGCAATGCCCAGGATCAGCCTTATGCCTCTTTTTACCACTCTGACATAATCACCACCACTCTTCAATTTGTTGATAGTTACTCTTTTGAGAAGAGATAACTTATTGCAGCACCTCACCTGCAGGGTTTGATGCCAGTCCTCTCCCTCACCCTGATGGATCAATTTGCTTTGACTCTAGATATACAGATGTTTCTGCTGTGACTTTCAACACCACAAGCTCGGACGGACCATCCTCTTTTATATCCTGATTTTCTTTAAGAGGTTCAGAGTTTTGGGCAGCAGCGTTGCTGAAGAATTGTTTGCAAAGCATGGAAAACTCCCAAGATCTCCAGAAGTAATTTTAGCAATGTTACAGGGTTCCCTCTGCTTTGGGTTTTATAAAAAGGACATTTTAATGGCAAGACTTTAAATTTTCAGGTTAATAATTAGTGTTTTCTCCAACATATTTTTTTTCCAGGCATTACGTGCTGAGGACGAGCACTTTGATATAGTCTTTATTGATGCTGATCAAAGGAACGCTGTTAACTACTACAGCTTTGTCATGGATAACCACTTGCTGAGAATGGATGGAGTGATCTGTGTAGAGAATACACTCATGAAAGGACGAGTCTACCTGGAGAAAATATCTGATGAAAATGTACTAGCTGTCAGAAAATTAAATACAGTGATTAATTCAGATCCTCGTGTTGAGCAGGTTAGTGCAATGCCATTGGTTAAGGTGCCCGTGGTACTGTATCTATGGATTTTGTAAAGTACTCTTTAAAATGTTTCTTTTGTTGGTTCCATTATCCAGAGGACCTAAAATGAACTCAAATTTTATTATAATTCACCTCACTTGAGTTCTATGTATGAGTTTCTATATTCAGAAATGGTCCCTACTCTCTGTCTACATCATATATAGTGTTAAAGGCAAGATAAAAGTGGAGCACTTAGGAGTGAATAATCAGCCCTACAGTACAACCAAGGAGCCGCCGCTCCGCTTTAAAAGCTCTGGAGGCTGTAGGGCATCGCCAGCGTAACAGGAGTCAACAAAGTCCTACACCAGCAGAAGTTTAAAAAAAAAAAAAAAAAAAAGAAGCAGCAGCAACAGGATGCATAAACAATATGCTGTGGTTTTAGAGACAAAATTAGACACACATCGTCCAGGGCTTCAAAAGCAGGCGCGAATGATGCTGCCACCAGCCTGGAAAGCTTGCTCTCGTGCCATGGCTGCCCCCGAGGGGCAGAGGGGCTGCTGGGGGGAGCCAGCATGGCCGGATCCCTGCCTGCCTTCTGCCCGCGGTGGCACAGGTGAGGTCTGCCACCTCCCTCCCAGGCGCCTCTCCCACGCTCCCCCCACCATAGCTCTCCACAGCACAGGGGTGTGAGGTTCATGCCCGGAGGGTTTTGGTGTGAGCTTCATGGGCTTAAGGTCCTTGTCTATCTGCAGGTCAGACAGCCTCTAGAGGTGCCTCCTGTGGTTCTGTATCTATTATATCACCAACACAACTATCAGCTAGTGTACCAGAAGAAACAGCTTTTCTTTGTAGAAGAGGGGAAGATTAATGACAATTTTCCATGCCCTGAATCTTACTGTTACCCATTCAATGTATGTAAATAGCATGTTGTTTCCATATCTAATGTTCTAATAGTTCGATATTGGCATTGAATCTCCAACACTGAGTGCATTTTCATTACAGTGTGCTAATGGTATCAGAGAAGGCAGGTGGCAAAACCCACTGACCTTCGACACATGTTCTAGCAAATGCTGAAGAACACCAAAGTGTTGCTATTGTGGTTTGCTGAGCTCCAAGACTGGAATATCCTCATGACAGCATTAGCCAGGCAGTGGAAACCCAGAAACCTCAGCAGCTGGCACTGATTTAGAAAACAGAGAGACAAAATTGCATTTTTTCCTGGCGTTTGTGGAAGCCGTGAGTTTGGAAGAGGAATGTGAGCAAATACAAATGCCTGTCATATTTGTGTTGAAAGGAATTTCAGCTAAAAAATAGGACTAGGAGAAAAGCTACTGTGGTCTAAGGAAGGAAGGACTATCCTTCTTATCAGTGGAATTTGGGTGATGAAAAGCCAGGTACAAAGCAGTTGGAAGCTGTTTGTATGTATGTCGTATTTGCAGATAATTTTACCTGTGCAGAGTGGACTGAGCATCATTCGAAGGAGCCCTGCACCTCCAGATGCGGTGATCGAATTCAAGGTGTGTATTTCCTTTCTGTGAACACTTCTGGGAAAATTTTCACTCTGCAGAGAGCAGTGACAAAATAATTTCCGGGGATTTGATGGTGAGAGCCCAAACTCAACATTCTGTGGTGCTGTGCAGTGTGGACTAACCAGGTAAGGGCTTGGCACATATTAGCCTCGCTAGTCCAGGGTTACATTAAATCTATTAAATACTGATTCCTTGCAAAGTCTCCTGGATCAGCCATGCTGATAAATCCCCGGAGTGACTGGCATGCTGCTCGCCGGGTGCCTGTGCCTGGTGCTCTCTGGTCCTTCCCGTGCGGGGGGAGTGTGGGCAGATGGAGCTGGGGCCCAGATGTAATGGACCAATGCAATATTTCTGAAGTAGCTCCTTTTTTGCTCAAAGGCAGCACGTGATGCCCTCCTATTCTCTCTGAGCTGAATGTTTTCATGGTCTTAGATTTTGCTTGTCCTGCGGAAAAGATGGTGCTTTTATCTTTCTCCATTTTATGTGGCGGGCATCATCCAGCTGTAATGAAATTCCCATCTGGAATCGTAATGGCCTAACTCGGTAAATCCAGACCCAAACATCCTGATTGTTTTGCAGTTTCTGAGTGCTCCCAAAGCTACACCCACTGGTAATTCCTGGCATTTCAAACCCAGTGTTTTAAACATCTTGTATTTTCCATTTTGATTCCAGTCAGGGGAAATGATGTATGGCAGCTGATCAGATGACAGCTTGGTTTAAGTTATTGGCTGATATCTTTATTTGCGCACCAGCCTTGTGAAGATATTTTGATTGCACTCTCCTTGAGCCAAATCCTGCCTTTGGGAACTTGTTCTTAGCCTCTGTGCCTTCCTGGAGCCAGCTGAGCCTGATGGTAGGATTTGGCCCTGGGATGAAATAGCCTGAAGATTTAATCAGTCATCTTTTGAGAGGTCATACGTGACCCATCTCTCATGGGAAGCTAGGTCAGGAAATACGATACCCTAGTCTTATGTATGTGAAGTGGTTGGTGCATCTCCTCAAACCACAGCCCTGCTGCTCCATTGCCTTGCACCTCAATGCTCCTTTTAAGACTAATATCTGTGGCGATAAGGGTGCTTTTCTGCTTGAGTTTGTCATACCTTTTGCATTAAATGATGAGTCAAGATGACATGGATCCCTGTGTGTGCTCCCACCTCTTTCTCACAGGCAGAGTCCTTCATAGCTATCACGTTACCGTATTGTGCAATGTATGTATGTTTTTGCTTTAGAAAGAAGTGGTGAGGGATGACGTCTTCTGGGGTTATAACAGGCGCCGCATCCTTGACCGGCTGCGTTTGGACGGCAAGGTGGCCTACGTCACAGGCGGAGGGCAGGGAATTGGAAGAGCCTTTGCTCACGCATTGGGGGAAGCCGGTGCTAAAGTAGCAGTTGTGGATCTGGTCCTCGCAAAGGCAGAAGCAGTGGTGTGTGAGCTTGTCCTCAAAGGTAAGCACGGGACTGACCTGCAGGTCCTGCTGGACATGGCCCAGTGATGAATGCTGTAATGGGCTGCTTTCCTTGTTCAAACCTGACCCTTTCTCTGCGGTGCAATTATCTTTCCTCCAGTCCTGTTAGGGAATAGGTTAGACCAGAGGATTTTCAAACAGCAAACACATGCTGAGCTCGCAAAGCTTCTCCTGCCCAGGCTGGATGTCAGCCTTATCTCAGCAAACAGTCATCGATACCACATCATCTGCAAGAGTTATTTATCAATATAAACTCAACTAGAGAGGGAAAGTGATCCAAACAAAATTCCTTGCCAAAAGCGCCCAAGGGAAACACAGCCGTGAGCCGTGACTGACAGGGACAGAGGAGGGCCACCTCTTCCAGATGAGATCTGCTTAACCTGCATTGAACAAACGACGGTGGTGTTCCTCAGAATAGATCTTGCAGCAGCCAAGGCATGTCAGGCTTCGCTGAGGATGGATGACAGACATGGCCCATGAACTTTTTAGCACATACCCCTCCCTGGCACCTCTTCCACACCTAGTGTCTGGACCATGAACCGAAACACCAAACAGGGTATAGGTATTGTCATCATAAATCTCTCATGGTGCCCTCAGACTGAAGCAAAGTCATTTTTTTAAATCCTCAGCTATAGTTCTTTCAAACATGCAAGATCAGATATAGGAACAAAATACTAATAGACATAATGACTGAAACCCCAAATAAGAGGTAAAATCCTCTATGAGCCACTTCTATTTTAGCAGTGAAAAACAGAAAATCTGACATAAAATTGAAATTCCCCCTGGAGTCATGCTAAACTGCAATTGTAAAGGGGAGAAAGAAAACTGGAAATATAATTTTAATGAGAAAAGAAAGGAAGTTTTACTCATTTTATAATTCCTTCTGTCAGATTACAACTGAGCCTTCTTCGAAGTTCAGTACTTCATTGCCTCTAAAGACAGAGCTTTACCTACAAAATTTTCACATTCCTGTTTGCATAAAGTCACCAGTATTTGTTTCCACTATGACTTCAGAAAGGAATTTGGGCCATTGGAAACCATATTCTCCAGCAAAACCAGCCCCTGCAGGTGTATTTCTATCATCCAGTCTCAACTGGCTTCCTGAGGAGGGGGCGAGGGATGGTTCAGTTCTGGTTTTGATACCGTTCTGAGCCTCCACAGAGAACATCTTAAACAAAAAGTCTCTGTACGATCCCAGCTCTAGTAAGCAGGAAACGCTTTACACTGAGTATCAGTGTAATGGTTAAAGCTTTGATTGCTGGTTTGATCCCAAATAATGACCTAGAATAGAAAGTGTCCAGCTCCTATTACAAATTCTTGAGTCACCCAGTCCCTCCTTCCCTGAAGCTTTTCATTGTCTTATGCACTGAAGCCATATGGTCTTGGCACAAAGTGGCTGTGCCCTACAAGTTAACTTGCCTTTTGGACATTTTTTCACGGTGAGATCCTGCATATCAAGTAGAGCTATTCAGATAGAAATGGGCTACTTGACAGAGCCGTGAGACTTTGTATGACAACAGCCTATTTGAAAACTAACTTAAGTTATCTCCAGGGCATTTCCAGTAGGAGTTTGATCATCCGTCCTTCAATGGCTGCCCTACATCTCTGCTCCTTCACCGGTGGGCTGCAAGCCCGGAGGAGGTGTGTGTGGGTGTTACAAAATGCAGTCGGAGAGGTCATGAGGCATAGCAAATATTATTGCAGTCTAAAGTAAAGAAAATCTCGCTTCTCAGTCTTTACACATCTTTATCCTTTGAGGTCAAATATTCTCTATCAACTTGACCAGTGCAGCTGGTCAGGGCACATCTATTCCATCTCATGATAGTTTTTGAGGTTTCAAATTTATTGTCATTCCTTGTTGGAACAAAACCCAAACTTTGTAATGCTTTTGTGAAAGGGAATTATATCCAAATGCCCATTTTTGGAAAGGATCTGAAAAGGTCAGGTTTTCAATCTCTTTCTCTCCAGAGGTAACTAGAGAATCTAGCCTGGACCTCAGAAGCTTTGCCTTGAAAACTTTTGTTGAAATCAATATGTTTCCATGAAACATTTTGGCTTCAAAGAAGTAATGTACTCTGTTGGAAATAAATTTTTACAAAAAGATTCAGCTAGCTTTACTCTCAAAATATTCACATGAGTAAATTGAAGCAATCGTAGTATTAATACATATTTTTCCTGCTATAATAAGCACAAAGGAGCTGTGATTTTTTATTTTTTTATTCCCCGCCCCCTTTGGTTGTGGATTTCTAACTCAAAGTTGGAAATGCAGTGCCCCATGTCATTCCCATACTGCTACTTTTTCAAAACATTCTGCTTAGCTTTCTTAAACCTGCTTTACTTCTTATACCAAGGAGCCCTTTACCGTCTTTTGGGATGGTGCCATCATTTCATGATGAGTTTTAAACATCAGAACCTCTGTGATCTCAGTTTTAGCTTTGTTAGACAGCTCAGGTGTATGTCCCTTGGCTACAGAGGTCTTTGTTTTTAGATCCTGCGTGAATACCTTTTTCAACAGTTGCTAATGGATCCTGACAGAACAACCAAAAATGATGAAACGTAACCAAAAAATCCTAAGGGTTACCTTCCACTACATACCTCTCTGTCTTCAGGGGGAATTACTGCCTGTAACTTAAGGGAAGAATTAGTCTGATGGGATTTTTAAAATGTGCATTTTCACTGTAAACTATGCAAATGCCTTCCCCACAATGTCACTTCTGATCTTCTTGTCTTTATGCAATGTATTACTTCCATTTGTACTGAGAGACCAGAGTTGAAGCCCAAGGCAGGGGGACCACATACACGTCCCCTGCAGAAGGGCACCTCGGGCAGGTTTGGCACATCAATGCCTCTCCAGCACGGAGCCATTGGGCTCCTCTCCTGCCCCTCTCATCACAAAACTGCCTCCACGAGCATCACAGAACTAAACTGAGGACTGTAGAGATGCATTGGTACTGTCGTGCATGTAGCAGCACGGTCATGTCTTGGGTTTCTTACCTTTGGTTAAGACCACAGATTTTTAAGCTATTTTTCCATACTTTATTTTAATTTTTTATTTATTTTTAACAGATGGATTGGGGGGGACAGTGGAAAGACAGAAAGTGGTAGGTGATTCCCCCCGCCCTCTCTCAGAGTGCCGGGATATCAGCTGAATTGATTAAGGTCAAGTGTGGGACTCTGGTTTGAAGTGAGCGTGCCTTCACTGCTTCTTCGCTAGACACTCCCGCGTGGCACCTTTTGTCTTGTTTTTATGAACTATCATACAAGATGAAGCCATAAATGGGATGAGAGTTGGAGGGCAGGTGAAGAGCCTCATTCTGTTACCATTAGTAACACGCTTGCACCCATTTTGTCTGTAAATTGAATAAGAAAGATTGCAGCAGCTCCCTGTGCGTTACATGTCTTGATAACAATTAGGAGGAGCAACGGGGGCTCTCTGACTATTCTTATTCTTTCAGCATATTTAGCATAAAACCTGCAATAAAATAAGAGGTCTTGTTTTGTGGCAGAACATCCATTCATTTTTGTAGGTGGCTCTATTTTGGGTCTGCCCTTTTCTCTGCCGTGGAGAGCAAGGGGAGCGTGGCATAGCTGAAGGTGAGAGAGGACATTAGCTCCCGTGGCCCAGCATGGGGAGCACCCCAGACCAGCATCACCTCGGGGCATGTGCTCTGGGGCTCCTGGAGACATTGGAGATCGAGAGGAGCTTTTTCCTTCCAAAAGCCTCTTTCCTGTCATTTTCTTCAAGCATTATGGGGCAATTATCGCTTTGCCTTGTTTTCATAGACCCTCCATCTCAAAGCTTCATTTTTGGGACAGTCTTCTCCTATTTTTCTAGGATAGGTTTAAGGCTTCTTTTAAATTTTTTTATTGGAATGGTCTAAAAGAGACACCAATGGAGAATAATTTTTCTGTTTAAATAGAAGTAAAAAAAAAAAATATCTTGCTTTAACAGCTAGAACTCCTTACTTGTGCACCGTTTGCTTACAGACTGCTGATCTATGGTCCAACCCCAGTGGCTGCCTCCTTCCTTGTGAGTTGAGACCCATTTCACCACAGCCCTTACTGGTGTGGCCTTGTTTGACTTTCAGGATGGGTATAATCCCATTGGCATCAGGTGCCTCAGTAGGCTGCTTATTTTGTTTAATAATAAGGTACTTAAAGTTGATTTTAATAGTAAATTAAATGAAGATATTTACAGATCAGCACTGGTGCAAAAGTCAATGCTTGGTTTTTTTCCAGGAAAAAGAAAGCACAACTTTTGCATGTTTCAAATCCAGTAAATCTCTTAACTTTGGAATGTTTGCTTTATTCTGGCGGTGTGGTTTGCAAGAAGTAAGGCCAGGCACCGTGACTACCATACTTGTGAACCTGCAGGTAGTCCCAGTTAGCTCCCACCTGAAACTGGTTTGGTTTTGTCTGATGCTCCCAGCTGTCTGGATGCTGTAGTTCATCCAGAGAGCGGGGTTGGTTTGGTGTGGGTTTTTTGGACAAATTGGTTTGACGTCTTCAGCATCTTGAACTAGCACAAAAACCGTCTGGATGTGAGCAAACGAGAGAGTCCTTTGCTTTATCTTGTTCCTGAGCTGTTGCCACCCACCCAGGAGTGATGCTCTCGGTGGGACTGCCCGGGGACGGGAAGCTGCAGTTGCGGGTTTGGACAGAAGATGGTGCAGTGTTCAAAGCTTCGTCCTGCTGGAGGGGCAGGCTCCGCTCCCGGACCGCGGTTTTGTGTTGGCCTCCAACGAGCAAACCTCGCTCCGGTTGGCAACCTTGTTAGGCGGTAACAAACGCACGTTTCGCTACAATTTTTGCTACAGTGAATTATTGTGGCATATATATATATATATGAGAATTAGTAAATAATCATCAGATAGATTCTTTTTCTTTCTCTATGAATTCCTATACTGATTTCATCACTCTTATTTTAACGCAGGGATTAAAAGCATTGCCCTCGCAGCAGACGTAAGCAAACCCGAGGATGTGCAAAGGATTGTAGATACAATCGTAGCTCGCTGGGGCACAATTCACATTGCATGCAACAACGCGGGCATCAATCTCAACTCAGCTAGCGAGGATACTTCCCTAGAAGAATGGGACAAAACTTTTAATGTTAATTTGCGAGGATTATTTTTGTGCTGCCAAGTAAGTATGAAATGCTGTACTGGTTTGTTTTGCAAACGGGTAATAATTTTCTAAGCATTTACTTCACCAAGATTTGATACTGCTTTATTACTAATTATCACAAAAAAATTGGTCCTAGTTTTGGTGGAGTTAAGGAGAGATTTGCTTTGTATCAATTACAGATTTTGGTCAATAATAAGCAGCTGGTACTTACTGGCTGCCCAAGGCCAGGCATTTAAGAATGGCCAGGTTTTTTGGAGGCTGGTTGTTTGACGCTTCCTGAAAACCAGAAAGCTTTGAGGGGCCATTCCCAACATTAGTGACTATTTTGAAAAATATTGCCAACAGTGAAGAGGGTCCGAAATGGCAATGGGATTTTCCCTGCATCAGCCATTTTTATACCAAGTTTTTATATCAAGTGCTTAAAAAAAATGTGTTAGCGCATAAACTCTTTTGAAAAGTGAAGACTAATTTATTATCATGTCATTATTAGCACAATCACAAAAAGGGTCACTGGTCTTTCCTTTAATTTCTGTCACAGGCTGCAGGCCGCATTATGCTGAATCAAGGATATGGGAAGATAATTAACACAGCATCTATGGCAAGTTTAATAGGTGAGTGATGAGAGCTAACAGTTGTGCTTCAGAATCCATATTTTAATTACTACCGATGCTATTTGAATCAATTAAACCTGTATTGAGAAGGAGTAAATCACTGACATTTTGTATTAGAGGAAATGTACTACAAAATTTTTATTGATATCATTTTTCACCATTTATCTGTCCTCTATGTTTTAGAGCACTTATTACTTTTTATAGAAGAGGCGGAGTCACCTTCCCTGACTCCGATGCACTGATGGCATGGGAGAGGTGCTGGTGCACTCCCCGGTAATTTCAGGAAAACGCATTTGAGTGCTGCGGGAAGCTGTGCCCCTGCGATGTTTACAAGCCACCCGAAAGCTTTTGTGTTGGTCTTCGCCCCGGTACCCGCGGGTTTTATTTCATTATCGTTACCAACAGGTGTCTCCACCAACGCTGCTGAATCAGCAGTGTCGTCAAAAGCACCAATAAACCATTGTAACATATGGAATGAAATCCCTACTGCTGAGCTAATCTGGAAGGCAGTTACATGCTGGTGAACTGAGGCCCATGTAACAAAAATTGATCAATTACACAAATTAAGCATAGCCCTTTAGGAATTTATTTTATTGGTCTGGACATCTGTTGCAGTATTGTCCAAATCCAAAAATCAAATGGTGCCTTGGGTTGCCAAGTTAGGCAAGAAAATCTAGTAGCTATAAAAGTACAACCAAAAACCCCTGTATTAATATCATGTCCATCTGCTGAATGTTACATAAATATGCAGTCTTTTTATTTTCCTTGGGAATAACATTTATTTTTACTGTGCCCAGTTTGACATTCTGTGACATTCTGCTCAGTTTATTGCACAGTAACTTTAAATGTTTCTTCAGAAATGCATTTATAATGTTGTTGTTAATCTTTTTTTCAAGTGTTTTTACCAGCTGTTTTACTTATGCTTAAACACAGGCACTATCCCTCTGCTCCAGCTTTGTAGAGTTACAAAATCTCCCAAAGAAAAACAGTTTTGAAAAGAAAGCTTTACGTTTCAAATGCCCCAGACTTTTGTGCTCTGTTCTGCACAGCGGGGCTCTGGTCGGGGCTTGGGCTGTCACTGTCCACATCACCATTGCAAAGCAAAATTTACTGGGAGGTACTCCACCCTCCAGAAAGTTATGAAGCTCTGGAAAATGGCACCAGTGGGGGTCTGCTGGTTTGGCACACTTGTTCTTGCAGCCCAGAATTGCTCTCTGCTGCTTAGGGAGAGGCGTTTCCCAGCTTCTCCATCGGGCCTTGGCACAGTTCTGCTGAACTGGAGGTGATGCCATTCCACCACGCAGCTGTCCCAACCCCAACTTGGGGCTGCATCTCCCTGGCTGGCACGGAAAATCCGCTGAGACCCACATGGGGATCACGTTTGAGAGTGGTATCAGTCCTGGAGCAGGAAAAAAACAACCCTGGGAGCAGCCTGGAAGGGACATCACAAGACACGTTTAAATGTCATTGAAAGTTAATGCATGCTAGGCCAGAAGTGAAGAGATGTGTTTACCTTCTGAACCTGTTTGAATCTTGGCATTGAAAAAATCTAGTAGTTATAAAACTACGACTGAAAACCACGATGTTCATATCATGTCCATCTGCTGAATGTTAAATAAATATGTTGGTTGGTTGGTTATTTAAGTATGTTGGCCAACTGGCATAGTATGAAATGTTTCTAGAAATAGTTAGGGGATATTTTTTTGTTGTTGTTGTAGGTTGAGTCCTTCCTCAGAGATACAGGAAAATGAGGAGACTCTTAGCAGGATAAGGAGGTTTTTGTTTGTGATTTTTCCAGATACACTGCTCAGAATCAGTTTTAATTAATTGAAGATAAGCTGCATACATTTTGCATATGTGCATTTTGATTCTGGTATTTCACTGGAATTATTCCAGACGTATGCTTCAGCAGCAGAGCCGAGGCTGCTGCGGCTCTGCGATTTGCACAGGTGTAACTCAGATCTGTAATTTTTACAGTGAATATCTTTAGTGGGAAGTGGTCTGGTCTTCTCTATCTGTGCGCACCTCTCATTAACATTACATGGCTGCTTCAAGGTCAGGCTAGAAGCCTTATGCACCGAACAAGGTTGCAAAAGCATAGTGTCAGGTGTTTAAAATGTAATGCAGCTGCTGTTGGCAGCATGGTTATCTGCTTTGCTCCCATCTTCTCCGTCTGAAACAGGAGTGAGTGTCCTCGCACCCCAGAAGCCGTACAAATTCAGATTTTTTTGGTGACACTGCTGGAGGCATACCTTTATTCACAAGCTCTAGCCCTGTTATGTGTGAGTTTGGTGGGTTGCAGATTTGCTCTTTTGTCCATAAGAGACCACCTGAGAGGGCGGCTTAGGTAAGGGAAGAGGAGGTGGTGCGGGGTGCTCAGCTGCAGAAAACCCACCCAGTGCCAGAGCTTTGCAATGCTTGTTGGCTTCTTCTTGAGCTCTTCTGATTGATAGGGGCCAAGCATCTCAGGAGAGGGAAATTTCATCTTCTGAATAACCTTCCTTAGATATTCGTATGAAGAAAAAAGCATTTACATGGAAGAACTCTTGAAAACCTTGTCTGAGCACCCACCTGAAATCAGAAAGCTGATTCTGATAGTTTGCAGCAACTTGCTGCTCTCACCCACGTGCGCTAGAGGTGCAGAGCCGGTGCCAAAACTCTTTTTCTCTTAGCAAACGCCGAATGATTTATCACAAACAGACATGTTTGGAAAGTTCAGCGAAGAACTGCTTTTGGGAGGTTACAAGGTTAACTACCGAAGTTGTACGTAACTTGGAGCTGATGCATGGCAATTAATCAAGAAATTACATTCCACATCTTTTCGAGAGCCCACACAGCGCGCTGCGTCTGGGGGGCAACAGGCACGTGCAGAGGGCAAGGCGGTTCTTCTGGTCAAAATGCAAATTATTTCATATTGAAAAAAAATTAATGCAGAATAAATGCTGGTAGAGGGGGGCCATGGTGTGAAATGCTCTTTGTAGCAAGCAAGAGGCTTCCGAATTCCGAGCAAACCTTCAGCACATGCAGGAAAAAAAATTGTTGCTCCCATCATGTGTGTTCTTTAAATCTATTCACAAACATCTATGTTCAAGGCAAAGGTTCTTATTCGCGTGCCCAGTAATTTGCAGCAGGGCTTTTTGCTCTTTCAGAGTTTGGATAACTCAATTTGTCACCATCTGCTTTTCACCCTTTAAACTGACATACTCCAACCCAATAGTTTCAGTCAATAAAAGCAGTTGTGGATATGTTGGGATACCGTGGACGGTGGTGATCTGGAATTGATGCACCAGCTTAGCTTCATAAATTAAGACCAATTTAATTCCATCTCCCTGTGCTGCGCTTATGTGCTTTTATCAAAACGCCGCGGGGTTTGCCTGCCATACCTGATACACACGCAGCGATTCACCTGCTGCCAGGGTGCAGCGATACCTAACCCCGCAGGCTACAATTGCCTGCCTTTGTGATTACTGATATTTAGCACTGATTTTACCCACGTTCTCTCCATAAAAAAGTCAGCAACTCGGTGGCGCTCAGTACCGATACGGTGCTGGTTATGGATCAGTGCTTTGCACGGGATTTGTTTAATGAAATCATGACGGCAGTCAGAAAAGTCCAAGGAGACACATTTTATGGGTGTAAATCCCAACAGCTGGACCGAGTTGGTTTGACTCCCATGGGTTTAAAGCACTTTACATCCACTGGGGATTTGTCCTTAAGTAGCTTTCCTGTGGGAACACTGCAAGTGTGAGAGCTGGTGGAGGGGCCGAGCCACCCGAGCACACAGCACTAACAAGCTTGAACATTGTAATTAGCAAGCCGATCATTTTCCCTCGCTGACTGACATGTGACATCTCTGAAACATTTTCAAAAGCTTCAGATTTTGAAAGTGGTGGGTGTTCTGAATTTTTGGGATGCACCTCTGCTCACATCCACACAAACACAGATTAGATAATATGATGTGTTTGCTTCAGACTATGGATAATTTAAAAATTAAGGAGAAGAATTTGTTCCAAGAAGCTCTATATAATGTTATATAAAATCTATTATGCACTTACATTAGATCATATTATATATCATATCATGCTATACTATATTTTATTAATATTACAGTGTGCAAGTATTTTGTATATAAACATACATATGTGTATAATATATGAATGTGCATGTGTGTATATGATTATCTTTCTTGAGAGTAGTCAAATATTGCATATGTATGTTTAATACATTGGGTTTGGCGTTGCACAAATATGGAACACTTTAAATGTATTTATTTCTTTTTTTTTTTTTTTCCCTCCATCTTTTTTTTTCTCCAGTAGCCCAGCTGCTGAGGCAAAAACATTAGAATGCAAAATACAGATTTAGAGTTTTATGTTGTGGGTGGCTAAATCCCTGTTGCTCCTGCCTAGTATCAGGGAAAATGGCAAATAGTTCATCTCAATACAGGGAGTAGTGCCTGAGCTATCTTAATTTGTGGAGAATAAATAAATTTTCTATTTCTCAATCCCTTCTAGTCCCGCACCCACAGAAGCAGTTGGCGTACAACACCTCGAAAGCCGGGGTCGTAAAATTAACACAGACATTAGGAACCGAGTGGATTGACAGAGGAGTAAAAGTCAACTGCATTTCCCCGTAAGTAAAACGCAATCTCATTTTGAAAGTACAAAGAGAATGAAATGTTCTAAAAAGCTCAAATGAACAGTATCTCGGCAAATAAAGTTTCTAATTAGCAGGTGGATTGCATCCCTTTTTATGTTGTCTTTTCCTTAACAAAGGTTTAAATGCTTAGAACCAAGCCTGCTCTGTTGCTGTGTATACTCAGGGATTTAAGAAGAGGTTTTAGCATTTGATAATAGGTTTTCCAATAACGTGAAGGGTAGTTTTTAGCATTTCTCTTCCAGATGAAATATTTCCTTAGTCTGTCCAAGCCTTCTGTGGTTAAAGAAAAGGCTTTTGACACTTAATAGACAATACTTCTTTCCCCTTTTTACTTGAGACAAATATATAGGCACTTTAAAAGCCACATTGTACTGCTGTAATTGAGATACTGTTCAGCTCTGACAATCACAGGAGGCCAGGTGTAATTTTGTAAATATATGTATATTTATTACAAATTACATTTTCCTTATTTTTAGAGGCTTAAAGCTGTATGTTTTATTTTATGGTGTTTATTCACAAAGAAAAGTTTTCTTACCGCATACACTTTTTCTCTTCCTGTTTCTCACACGCATACCCAACCCAGTCATTTTATTAAACAATTAACAGTGCATGATAGTGCTAAGCAGAAACCCAAGTGGATAGCGTTAATTGGAAGCGGTCAAATTCCGTAGACCATTCAAGTCAATCACAGTAAGTAAGAAGGGCAGGATTTTAACCCAGGAGTTAAATTGTAATAATGAAGATATAATGTACATCAAATTAGGGAAAACAAATTACATATTTCAATCCACAAAGTGGAGTAAAAAAAAAAAAAAATCACAGAGCTCAATGGCAAGTGCCTCTGTTTTTATTGTCGGTCTGCTCTCCACTTCCTTGTGCTAGCTGTCTTTCTTATGATTATTTATTACTAATTATACCAGTGACTCCAGCCATCGCTCTATGGGATCCACAGATTCTTTAAACAGCATCTTACTTTGTAAGGGGATTTTCCCCATGCCAATGCTATCAGCTCTGCAATAGTGTTCTCATGACTAGTGCTAGTGAATTTACACTGGCTTTCAGGAACCGGGGGAGATGAAGGGAATTAGGGAAGCTCAGCAGGATCTGGCAGGAACTGTGTCTGAAAACACAGGGTAATTGTTACCAACAGAGGTGGGACAGCAGTGCCACGTTCACAGCAATCATGGATGAGGAGGCTCTCAGATGAGGAATTACCCATGTCTAGGGGGTTTACATAAATTTAAAAAATATCCACCGAATGATGAAAACTCATTGTTTTGTATAAGTTGGACACATACACTAATATTTGAAGAAGTTACGTTTCTGGAGGTAGTTGTCGAGAACAAGGAGGAAAAAAAATAGTTACACTTCTCTTTTTCTACTTTTCAAGCCAAAAGGGGGTTGTATTTTGATCATGCCCACTTGTCTTAAATTCCAGCTCTGAGCTCAAAATCCTACAACAGGAAAGGGAGTTTTCTTTGGGCAGGAATAGCCAGAAAGGCGCACAGAGGACAAATGCCCCCCATTCTGGACAGAGTAGTCCCCGCCAGCGCAGCT